ATACCTTGGTGATTGGATGATCGTTCATCGAACGTGGGGGTATTAGTCCTGTCAGTTGTGCGGAGATATGCGTTCTTCAGCTTATCATCCAATCCGCACAGAGATAGTGCATCATCCATGAGCATTAACTTTTGCACCTCGGTCATTCTCCGTCTGGAGACTCAGTAGGTAGCCATCCGCAGCATGGCCTTGATACGTGGGAAATAGATCTCGGAGTAAAGCCGAGCACGGCATGATGATGTGTAGGAGCTGGCAGACTTGAGAATGGCAGCTGATTTCAGGAGAAGAAGAACAATGCTGTATGCTGGGATCCTCGAGACGATGGATGAAGTAGCAACTGAATGCGGGGAAGTGGAGAAGAACGACCCCGCGTGGGGGTGGGCAAATCTGGGGTAATTCCAGTCCGGCTGGTGGTTGTTCATCTCGCCTCCTCTCTCGGTATAAGTGAGCTACCTTGGAAGCATGCTAGCAGTCGTCAAGACTGCTCCAAGCAGTTGGTTTCTTTATCTTTAGATTCTCCTGTGCTGCATTCTGACTTGTTGTGGACAACCAACATACAAAGTCCAGCTTCATTACTTCCCAGAAGATATTCTTTTACCAGTGTGGAAGCTGCCGCGCCCAAAGCTCAAGACTCAGGTTGAGGTATCATGAGAGGTACTCGAGAGAATGGCTTTAGACTGACTGGCCAGACGAGGCTATGGCTCACAACCTGGGATTCACTCTTTCTCTGGACAATCCTTGCACGCCTTCCCGAGATGACAAAATAGAACATACGCGGAGAGTGACAAGGCCACGGTATTGCTGTATTGAATATGCTAGTATCATTTTACACCATGGGAGAATTGCACTGGTCAGAAAGAAGGCTGGAATCGTAAAAGAGTTCTTCCAGGGGATGGAGACGGAAGTAACCACACAAGCAACATCCGATCGATTCACTGTCAAATGAACTTGATCTTGCGGCCTTTGAGTCTGATAACTGCGTCTTACAGTCCAGTATAGGAGCAAGTCTAGTAAGACGCAGACAATTCTCCCTCGCCACCACACATGGCAAGCTAAACCCAGTCCATATGGGCGTGCAGATCCAGGGAGGGTCCCCCTGCCTGTATACAGCCACAATTCTCGGGATATGAGTTGAGGAGTCAAACTCTAAATAGACTATCCAAGCCTAAGTCTAGGCAGATCCGCCACAGGTAGAGCCCGAAGTTGGCTCCGTGACTTGAGAACCTATCTATGAGTATACAAGCTAAGAAAATGGCACTGATCGCCAAGTGCGGGCTATCTTGAGCTCCCTCGAGGACTAGCACGGTATTGGCTACCTGCAGTGATTAGCTTTTTTGGATCACTAGGTGTTGATCGGGCCACGATGCACAGTATGGGGTAATCCATGTGTTTCCGTCTGTAGTTCGATATGCCACATTGATGCATGTCCCTCGTGGGGAGGCGCTTGAAATGACTCATTAGTACTTGCGTATTTGACCCAGGTCGCTCGTTGACTAGATACTCTGGTCAAGGCTCAGTTCCTCAGAAAGCAGGGTCACGAGTGATACATTCCCAATTTTCGCGCTCAGTCGACGCTGACCGGAGCATCGGTCCGCGGAGTCTGCAGTACGGATGGAGCAGCCGCCAATGGGGATGACCTTGAGCGGTGCTAGGTTGATGCGAGCCCATTATACCACAATATAGATGACCATAGCAGCGTGTGGATCATGTTAGGCTTGCCTACCATGATGTCCGAGAGTCAGATAATGAGGCACAACTCGATCTGCTCAACAAAGAGGGGTATGAATTGCCGTGCTCCGGCATGAATCAATTACAAGACTTCGTGGAGCTAGACGACAACACTGGACAGAAGTATAAACTGTCATACTAGCTCTGGTTCAATTGAGGTGTCATGGCAGCTTCAGAGCGAATCCTGACGACTCAGGATCGTGGTACGCGCAATTCTTTCCTGAAACACGGCGTTGAAACACGGTTGTGACATCTCAGAATTGAGGCGCAGTACTTTTTGACGACACTGCGGATAATGATAGGAAGGTTCGTCCCGGTCAACAGAACGAATTGAGTCCCTCCCAGTCCCTGCCATCTCTCAATCCTGTACGGAGTATCGATGGTGCAGATTGTAAGGGGTGGGCGATAAATACAATCGGGGTAGGTAAGTAACCTTACTCCCCCACCGTTTGAGAGAGGACGACGGCCAAGTCCGCCCGCCCCCAGCGTAAGCGCCCCTAAGAGAATTGCCTACTGCACACCGTCAGCCTAAGCCCCTTCTCCCCCTCCCGCCTAGCGGCATCATGCATTCCGGAGCTCTGCCGTCCGCTCGCTCGCTCCCTCCCTCCAGTACCCGAGGGTCAAACAACGGTTGACTCGATCACTGGTCACACACCGACTTTCGTCCATCTGCAAGACTAGAACGACTACTACTGTACCCCGGCTGCAGGCTTGCATTTGGTGTGCGGGTGGAGTAACCTACAATTGGCCCAAGGCGCCGTCATGGGCCTGCAGATCGAAAGAATAGGTGATGGGTGGTGGTAGTGGTGGTGGTGGTGGTGGGAATCTCACATGCTCCAGCAAACCACCTGCGACGGCTCCTCCCCGGAGTCACGATACACTGAGGGGGCATAGAGTTCAGGGACTCCGGACTGTCTGAGAGTCTTCAGTAAAGAATTGATCCCGATCCTTCGTCGTGCTTGATCGCGGCTAGTCCAGTGCGATTTATTTTCGAGGTAGGGATCCGTCTCACCTTGTTCCGGCCCATTGGCTGAGTATCGGAGTATTGCTGCATTAGTGCCACCACTAGCCAGGCATGGTCGTTTTGATATGGACATCCGAGCAACATGGTGCTTGTGTCTCTGAGCCTTCGCTTCGCACAACTTACCTTCCGAGATTCATTTATAGACCATCGAGGACAAGTAGTATCCTACATTTTCATGAAGTGCTTGCGCCAGTGACTCCGGCAATAGTCTGCTTGGGAATTGAAGGACTAGCGCCATTAGATCGGGGCATGAATGGAGGCCATGGGGAGACGGTAGTTAAGGCTGGTGTGCTTGACAGCCGAAGAACCATAAAGGGCTTTGCAACCCACCCCTGTTATGCCGCCACGATTCATATCCATCTGAGCCATGTGAATAGACTACAGGGTGATTATCGTTGCTTTATGACAGATTGAAATCCTTGCACCGAAGACGAGAGTTTATGCAATGTCTCACTCGATGTTGATTCGAAAACAGAACACCCTCGAATGCAAATGGCCCATGAACTACTAGGTAGTTATAAGTGCCTATAGTACTCGGTGCATACCCGATCGAGGATCAGACGAGATTGACAACCCATTATTGCGGAGCACAAATACACTGGCAGCCAACGACCGCATTATTCCCAACCGAGAATCACAGCTACAGCAGTCCTAATGGCAGTTGAATTCGATTGACTAGGTTCTATCGCAGTCTTCCAGAAGACCGAGGTGTTCAACCATGGAACCGTTGGTTGACCCAGAAATGTCCTCAAGGTAACAACAGGACGGGCACTGGGCATGTCGTCATGTTCAAAGGGTTGCAGAAGGCCATGAAAACAGAATCCGCCACGCAGATCCGAAGATCTCTGACGTGGGGGATTCCGGCCATTGGACGAGTTGCCATTTCCTGTGTTCTTTAAAGCTGGGGTCTTTTTTTGGGGGGTGAGTGGGAGAGGGGGGGGGGGGGAAGAGGACGAAAGATTCTTTTCTCCCCGCATTATGCGCGGTTGAATAGGGAAATGAACTCATATGAGAGGAACGTGCTGGGAACTATTGAGCAGGCTAGGTAAATGGTCGAGAATGTGGTGGTCTCAACGGGGAGGCTAGAAACAACTACGTGGTCTTTAGTGGGTGTGAGAGAGTGGAAGAGGTGTAGCCGTTCGCAATGGATGGTTCCCATGGTGGTGGAATAATGATGAACGCACTGAATCATTATTGAAAAAGAGAGGGGGGAAAAAGGAGGGAGGGAAGAGAAACTAGAAGTGAGACCAACCCAATACGTAGCCCAGCCGGAAAACCCCAGTTATCGTCACCAGTCAGCCAGCCCTGGGCAAAGTCCCCTGCCCGGGAAGCCGTAGCCAGTTATGGAGTAACTACGGAGTAGGTAAGGTGAAGTGACGTAATGACCAAAATAGGTGTAACTCCCACTCCCCCCGAGCCACTGACTGTGAGCCGCAGCGGCGAGTTCACACGTTCTCTGCCCGTCCCTCTGTTTGTCTGCCCAGTGCGTGGTGCGACCTGCTCAGCCTAGAGGGCTTGCTTGCTTGCAGTGCCTTTCTCTCTCTCTCTCTCTCTCTCTCTCTCTTTCTGACTAAGGCTACAAGCCCATTTGCCTAGTCAACTAACTGTTAATGAACTAGCTACTGCGGGAGAACACCACATTTAAATCGTCTTAATCACAGAAAAAAAATAAAATAATAAAGAAAAGCATCTGATGGAACATGCAGCTGCCACCCACAAAAAAAAAGGCTGCTGGTTAGGTACTGTACAGTAGAACATTTAACTTACTGTAGAAAGGCTGCTTCTCCAAAATAGCATCCGGTCCTTTCCCCTCCGTCCCCAGGTCATTACATGCACCTTTAAGGGAGGGGAGGGGGGCCGCATTTCGTAGTTAGGGAGTTAAACACCCACAATCGACCCACTGCTGGCCACTTCTGGATAAGACGAAAAGTGGGTAGACTTACCAGTAGTGCCAGTGGCCATCCTCAGAAGTGGGACGCCCGCCTTTATAATGTCGACTGACCCTCCTCCATTCCGCTGGGAAAACGTCAACGCTTCGCTTGAAATACATAAGCAAGGAACCGAACTGGGAATCTCTTCCAGGTTCCTTTTCCCTTCCTCATAAACCTGTCTTCCCTCCGTCTCCTAATCAGCCGTACAACCATCCCTATACTATCTCGGACACTACTACTACCATTATCACCAGTACCACATCTCCCCCGTCGACCTTTAAATTTCCCTAGATTAATCGCCACTCGCCTTATTCACCATGTCTCGAACTAAGGTCCTGCTCGTCGGAGCAGCTGGTGAAACTGGTGGTTCCATTGCGAATGGATTGCTCGAACAGCCTAACTTCGTATGCTGTCCACGTTCATCACCTGCCTTATGCTCCCGACCCTGGTTCTAATTGCGTGCCTTTCGCCCTTACAGGAAGTCCATGCTCTTGTTCGCCCTCGCTCGGCCCAGAAGCCTGCCATCGTTGCCCTGCAAGAACGGGGTGTTCAGATTCGCAAGGGTGATCTCAAGGGTCCCGAGGAGTCGCTCGCCGACGTCCTCACCGGAATCGATGTCGTCATCAGTTGTGTCGGCCCTTCAGAACAACAGGATCAGATCCCTCTCGCCAAAGCTGCGAAGAATGCCGGTGTACAGCGATTTGTTCCCTGCGGTTTCATCACAGTAGCCCCGCCTGGCGGTATCATGTGGCTGAGAGACGAGGTATGCTGGCTGGCTCATCCGAATCTTACCTTCTCGATTAACCTTCCACACAGAAAGAGACGGTCTACAACCACATCAAGCAGCTCCGACTACCCTACACTATCATCGATGTCGGCTGGTGGTACCAGTTCTCCTACCCCCGCCTTGAGTCTGGTCGCATCGATTATGCCATGACTTCAGCTAACAACGAGATCGTCGCTGACGGAAACTCCCCCATTGCTTTGACGGATTTGCGGGATATCGGTCGCTATGTTGCCAAGATCATTACCGATGACCGGACATTGAACAAAATGGTGTTGGCGTACAACGAGGTCAAGACTCAGAACGAGATCTACGATCTTTTGGAGGAGATTAGTGAGGAGAAGATTCAAAGGAACTATGTAAGTGTTCTTTAGCACTGCTCGTGCCACGACATCGACTGACGTCATAATCATCAGATCCCCGAAGAGACCATCTACACTCGAGTGCTCGCAGCCCGCCAATCTAGCGAAACCTATCCGTTCGATCCCATCAAGTTCATTCCCAGATATCTCGCCGAGTATCAACTATCCTGGGGTCTACGGGGCGACAACACGCCGGAATATGCCAAATACTTGGGTTATGTGACTTCCAAGGAACTGTACCCCGACTTCACGCCTACCGACTTCAGGGAGTACCTGGAAACCGTCGTAAGGGGTGCCGCCAAGGGTGTGTATACCGACCGCACCATTTCCAAGGCTCAGCAACGCTTCTTCCCTCGATCGGAATCTAGCGACTCTCTCTACACTCGGATCTTCCCTCGTACTGAATCGAGCGATTCTCTGTACATGTCTCGATGAACGACGACCTCGGTCCCTTGTTAGGAAGAAACACGAGTCGGCGCTAGATGCGCCTCCACCTTCGCGCTGCTTCGATTATGGTCGTGTGTACGGTGTCACTTGAAACAGTGAATACCACAGCACACAACGGCAGCCCTCCCTCCCTTGTTGTTTCTCTTTGCTTTTACCTTCTCATGGGTCTTTTTTTGTTCCCGGGGGTTTCTAGACAGGCGTTCGTGTACCTACTGATGGCTTATGACTGTCTCGAGTGGATGAGTATGATTACGTCACCACCACGTTTATATACCAATGTACTTCGGGGGTTTTCTCCAATCACCCAGTGTCGGTGACAGGTCTCACGGTCACTGGAAAGATATCAAAATTTCAATTTTATCCATCATTCTTGCGTCGGGTACCACGTAACCAAATTGCCAATGGTGACAACATGGACGGCAAGTGCAAATCATCCCGTCTGAGTCAGGCAACTACACAATTTTTCTTTTCCTTGTCAAGTCCCAACTCAACTTTTTGAAATTCAAAGAATTTAGGCGCATCCCCAGGCACTCGAATTTTGATTTCTCCGGAGGCAACGCATCCGTTCTGTATGGGTAGCGATGGCTCCGGGAAAATGCGACAACGATCGAGATCATGATAGTGTCCCAACAACGATTGAAGGCGACATCCCTTCAATTCGTTCAATACAGCCTTCATTCCACCCGCGCATGCGGCCCGTGATTCCTGTCTATGAAGCTTTAAGCCCGCATCAAGTCAATCTACTCGGTGCGCGTTCGTCTGCCGAACTTAACCTCTATGCCTTACTTATCTTAGCAATAGCTATTGGAGGAGCGATCAATACTGGCCTCATGATTTGTGCAGGCCGTGCGCTTTCACTGTAAGAGCACCAACTCCATCAATTCCTCATTTCGATGCTGACCAGAGACCACAGCGCTGGGGTGAGTACCTTGAAGTTTTCGTGATCGATACACACTAACCACCAAAGCCTGCTTCTATACTTATTTCGTACACATTTGTTGGGTTCATTGTCTATCTGGTTCTGTGTGCTCTGGGTGAGGTCGCTTCTTGGTCCACAGAACCATCAATGGCCGAGAATGCGTCTCGATTCTGTGATCCGGCGCTTGGGTTCACATTAGGATGGATGTGAGTCAGCGTACCTCATAGAACCTCGCCACCTTATATGGCATGGTCTAATCCAGACAGTTATTGGCTGAAATTCATGGTTGTGATCCCCAACCAATTCGCAGCGGGAGAATTGCTGATAGCCTACTGGCAAGGTGATGAGAAAGGATATTCGATCTTTAGGATCACGTTCTTTCTCGCGACAATCATCGTTGCGAACTCGAAATGTAGCCAGTATTTCGACAAATACGAGCTTTGCCTCTCCTGCATGAAGATCATTGTGATGTTCGGCCTAGTCTGTCTCTGTGTCGTCCTGGCTTTCGGTGGCGGCCCTGATCATGATAAGAAAGGCTTTCGTTACTGGAGCTATCCAGGTGCGTTTGCGCAGCACTCGAACAAAGAAGCAACGGGCATACTTCGCGCGGTCTTTCGAACAGTTCCTTCTGCTACATTGGCCTATCTCGGAAGTGAGCTCATGGGCGTAACTATATTGCGCACGCATAATCCCAGGGAAGCTGCAGGGCAGGCCATCGAGTCCAACTGCTACCGCATCTTGGCCTTCAATATCGTCAATGTGGCTCTATTGGGGATACTGGTTCCCTCTGGTACCCACGTCTTGGCCTTAGGTCAATCCACGGACAAGCCCCGGCCGGCATCAGCTTTTGTGACGATCGCACAGTATACTGGCTGGTCAAAGTTGCCACATATTTTGAACGCCTTTCTACTGGTCTGTGTTATTTCTGCCGCCAGCCAAGCCCTCTATTTGGCGACAAGAACACTATATGAGCTTTCTGTAGATCGACATGCTCCTTCTTTCCTCTGTCGAACCAATGATCGGGGAGTTCCAATATATGCCTTGGGTGTGTGCGCCCTCATAGGATGCACGGCATATCTGAATGCCTTTAGCCGCTCTCAGAAACTCTTCAACAACCATGTCAACCTGGTTTCAATGTTTAGCATACTTACGTGGGCCTCCATCCTGGTGGTTCATATCTCATTCGTGCGAGTTCGAAAAGTACAGAAGATTGCCGACGAGGATCTGATCTTCCGGGCTCCATTTGGGGTGCTCGGCTCCTGGGTCGCCTTAGTGGCATGTATCTTTTTCTCCGTGATTCGAGTATTTGACCTTACAAGCCGTGATGCTTACCCACGGGGGTTTGACTATGTGGCTTTCATCACATCTTATGTGGGAATCCCACTATATGCTATACTTGCCGTGGGATACAAGCTTGCTACCAGGAGCCACTCGGTGCAACCTGAGAGTGTTGACATGAGATCCCTCAAGGCTGAGCAAAGTTCGTTAAAAGCAGGTCGTACTCTTTCGACCCAGGGACGACCTGATCAAATCTATCCAGACTCAGAATCAGCCCGCATGCGCCGAAGCATAATCTGGTGGGTGTTGTGACTGGGCGAAGGAATACTTGAGCTGGGGAGGGATTGCTCTGCGCTTGGTCGCATGGTTTGTGGGTCGGGTACAGTACGTGCTATGAAAGCTTGCTTACACGCTAGACATTTTATTTCCCGTCCAGATATCTGATTCAAACATATTTAGCAAAAAAAGGGGGAAAGGAAAAACAAAAAACTAATCAATGGATCTTCATTTCGTCCGAATCTTATGTTATAGTACCAACCTGGATCGTGGCATCAGACTGCCGCATGCTGGTGTCTGATTACGGCACTCGAGGGATAATCAAGGAGGTCGCGCAGCAGCATGAAAAAGCAAACATATCGAGATATGTGAGTTTTATGTGGATGTAACTGCCCGCAGTGCATGGTAGGAATGACTTCAGTCGAGGTGACCGGCGTCAAGAGGTCGATTTGATTCGCTCGAGAGGGGCAGGTGGAGGGCAAGTGGAGGGGTTGAAGCTCGAAGCTGTCAGTCAATCCTTCTTTAGTTTCAATTCAACCACCACCCGACCCGATCTTCTTGTTTGGTTTGCATCTTCACCCACCACCCATTTCACTCTCTTCTTTCTTGCTTTTACGTTGCTACCCTCGATTCTTCTCAAGACCCTAAATGCTCTAACGCCAGTTTTTTCTCAATTCTTGGATCTACCTCCGACTGATCAAAGGCGAGAGTCGAGGAAGGTGTCTGGCGCGGGTCGCCGACTCAATTGTTTACCATCCTCTGGATCAGTGGTTATCCGTCGTCTTGTGGAGAACCAAGTTTCCCAATTGGTGTACCCGCACAACTGACAGCTCCGAGGTCGATCGATACTGGATTGTGCAATCCCCGGGCTTTGACAGACATGGGCTTCCCTATCACTCCGAGCCGAAGCGGGCAAGAATTGATCCAACTCATAGACGAGATCAACGAGAAATTCTCGCTGGAAATCCCCAATCCCCGCATCTACTCCCCTGGCGGTGACAACAAAACACCGGCATGGAGGTGCTATGGCGGTCTCAAGCGGCTCTACTTCAAAGGCCCTTTGTATCGAGTCCTCAAAGATTTCCAAGAATGGGTTTCGTCTCGACCACTCCATCCATCCCGCTCGCATTCAGGTCATGAAAGGGAAGAGCGAATGGGATACCTGTTGCGATTGATCGACGATGAGCTCTACCTAATGATCAAAGGCTCCTTTCCGGCCAACCGTTTGATGGAGCAACTTTCGGCGGAGCCTGAAGATCTAACACCTAAGTCATTGAAGAGAAGACTTTCGGCCGATGAGGACGAGTTTCATACTGCGCCGAGCTCTCCGGTCAAAGAACCTGCGAGATCAGTTTCCCCATTGGAGACAAACGGTCGTTCCCATGTTGTCGGATACTCTAATCAAGGTGGCCATCGGCAGTCAATGATCGCGACTTTCCCTACAAACCTCTTCCAGAGCCCTCGCCGCCCTGACTCGGGAAAGCCTTCCAAGTTCGTAGAGAGACTGACCGCACCTGACAAGTACCGGCGATACGACGCTGTACCTGCTGCCCAGACCGGTCTGAACGTCAGCTTCGCAACAACTACTGCCTCATCCTCTGACTTTTTCGCTTCGCACAAGGTCTCATATAACACGTCCTTTCTCTCAACTACCACTGATGTCACCGAGCCCATGCCGGAGGACGAGTCACTGTACGAAGACTCGGTGGTAGGGCATATGCTCAGTCAGGAGATGAGAACGACGTTTGAGCAGCAAAGCCGGGTTTCAGGTTCAACAACTCAGGAGTCTCAGTACACCGACGACGGACAGATCATGGCAGAACTCATTGAAAACGGACCTTTCAATTACGAGCAGACTTTCTCAAAGTCGACTCTACTTCGCTATCGATATGAGCTAGAAAGGATAGGCAGAGCGTGGAATGTACCTTTAAGCCGCATGCTCGTTGGTGACACCATCTCATTCAGAACTCTGGACGACTGTTGGAAATGGATAGCGCGTCATAACCAGCGAGACGGCAAGCCACTTCCAGAGAAGCCAACTCGCAAGGCGTGGGAAGCCGCTACGGGTGATTTCAAAACAGATAAGCATTCCGAGGTGGTCGTCTTCACAGGGGACATGGAGTGGTGCTCTGGGTCCGAACGCGGTATTTTGAAGTTGAAATTGAATCCTCTGAAGACAGAACGAACCTGCCGCTTTCATCGGCGCTTTGGATCGGATCGCTTTCTCAGCCTGACGATGCCTGCCCCGGCGCGGCCGCCACCTCATCTCCGAATACCCGAAAATCCTACTCTCTTGCGAGAAAGCTTAGCTCTCTGGTTAACGCAACGGGTGCATCGGTGCCTCGGTAGGGAATGGAGGCCGTTCTTTGTGGAGGAAGTGAAGTCAAAGTCTAAGATTAAGTCGGAACCGAAATTTCGAGTAGATTTCTTTGCTGTCGACGGCATTGATTTTGACCACAGGGTGAGAGTACCTTCGTCCCTACCTCTCCCAAACCAGGACAGTACGAACCGCACGCCGATGGATTTAGAAGAACTTATTGAATGGCACATGCCTTCAGAAGCCAATCTCGGCCAGTCGAACTGCAAGCTCTTCCAGAGGTTATCATTGGGTCTTTCCAAAACTTATGCAACGGTGGTGCTGCGACCATCGCAGATTCTGTCGCTGCCGGACCTCCCAGGCCGTCCGGTTATGAATGATGGGTGCGCCCTGATGTCAAGGAAGCTGGCCAGCCACATCTGCGACATGCTGGGGATTGCAGGAATAACCCCTAGTGCCTTTCAGGGTCGATTTGCGGGAGCCAAAGGGTTGTGGATGGTTGATCGACATCAATCACAGTTATCAGCTGAGTGTAATGACGACATGTGGATTCAGATTTCCGACTCGCAGCTAAAAATCCATCCGCATCCCCAAACCTGGCAAGAGCCTGTTGACAACGAGCAGTTGACCTTCGAGGTTGTGAAATGGTCCAAGCCGTTGCATCCGGTCGATTTGAATATTCAACTCTTGGCAATCCTCGAGCATGGCGGACACGTGAGGGAATATATCGGCGACCTCACCCGGCAAGGCATTCAAGCGGTGTATAAGGAGTTTGTACAGGTACTTCAGTCCGATAGTGCTATTCTTTGTCGCAGTCTTATCCAGAAAATCCGGCCTTCAGCGGATGACGGCTCCGGGCTGATGTCACACAAAGTCAAACGCCTGGAGCAGTGGACAGCGAACGATGCAGAGTCGATAATACGGCTCACTGAAGCAGGGTTTGGACCTCGAAGCTTCTATCCGCTTCGCAAACGACTGGGGAAATGTCTCAGAGACCTGCTCACTCGATATGTGGATGAATTACATATAGAGGTCCCTCTTTCGACTTATGCCTTCTGCATTGCAGATCCCTATGGGATTCTCAAAGAAGACGAGGTACACTTTGGATTCTCCACCAATTGGCGCGATGGCGAAGGTCAATTTGAAGATACTCTACTAAATGGCGTGGAAGTTCTAGTTGGCCGACTTCCAGCCCACCTACCCTCAGATATTCAGCGCCGGAAGGCTGTGTGGAAGCCAGAACTTCGCCACTTCAAGGATGTCATTGTGTTTCCCAGTGTGGGTAATGTACCGCTAGCGCATATGCTATCAGGCGGCGACTACGATGGTGACACGCCCTGGATCTGCTGGGATCAGAACATCGTGCGCAATTTCTATAACTCGGACCTCCCAGATGTCGAATATTCTCCAGAGCACTTTGGTCTTACGAAACATTCCGTGCCCATGAGGGATATTCAATCTTTGGACGAGTTTCTTCAAAGCGCGTTTACGTTCAATTTAACTCTATCGAATTTAGGGCGCTGCACTGTAGAGCATGAAAAGATCGCCTATGACGAATCGATCAATTCGCGCAACGCCACGGAGCTTGCTTGTCTCCTGGGTCATCTGGTGGACGGCCGTAAGGGAGGTGTGCATCTGTCTGAGCAATCTTGGGTGCAATATCGGAGGAGGATCAGTCCTCGAGTTCGTGCTCTGCCCGCCTACAAAAATCCTGAACGGAGGTACAAGAGGACCAATATTATTGACTTTCTTCGCTTCGAGGTGGCTCGCAAAGAGTGCGACAAGGTTCTGGCACAGTTGGAGAAGGCATTCCCCGAGGATGAAACTTTCAAGAACCGGGATGAAGACCTGTTGGGAGTATGGGCTCATGTTAAAGAGCAAGCCGCACAGGACATGGGACTAAAAACAGCACTGCAAGGTGTGGGTCAGAAGCTCAAGACATTGTATGGGCAGTGGAACGAGCACGTGCAGAGGAGCCAAGGGTCCTTTTCCGTCCGTGCTCTAGAAGCTGCTGACGAAGCCCAAGCCATTGAGCCTCCGTCAGGAGATCATCCTTTGATTCAGGTATGGGAGCACTGTCCGGGCGAATGGCTTCGGTTTCTAGCTTCCAGCACGTATCAGCGGTGGCCCCATTCCGGTTTCGTCATGCACGCCTTTGGTGAGGTGCTCTGTCAGATGAAGGCGAGCAACCTACCGGCGCGGACCGTGACGAATGAGATCCTTGCCTGTTATCGTGTCAACCAGAAGGTCATCGCGCAGCTTACGTCCCGGGACCCGATGGATGAAAGGGACACCGAGCCGGGCGAGGACGAGTACGAAGGGCACGAAGCCATCGAGGCGATGCACTTCGGGCTGCCGTCGACAGCAGCGGGCGGATACTACGATCCGGACGATGGAATGTCGGTGGAATGAGCGAGGTTTCAGCTTCGGATAGCATGGTTCATTGGCTGGAATTCAGTTCATGCATCTGTGGGGTACATTCTTGGTTATCGTGCTGCATGCATGTGCCTCCCTTGGTAGAAGTCCCGGATTCTTGGATAGAGTTCTCTAACTATCCTATTTTAAAGAACTGAAAAGAGAATGGGATAGGGCATTGGGCCAGATAGTTTAGATAGTAACAACGATCTACGAGACTTATTGTTTTGCCTTCGGCTGACCAGTTAGCCATGGGGTTTGGTTGGCTGAGTCGTAACTCACTCACTGACTAAACTCCAAGAATCATGAATCATGTGGAAGTGGACTTGAATCAGACCGGGCAGGCGGTGGGGCGGTGCATTACTGGGAGGCGGGTGGAATCACATGTCAAGTCGTACAAGTTGGTCCAATCTGACTGGAAACGGAAGCTTCCACGAGCTGCCAGGTGCTTTCGCTCATCAACTCTCGCTCAGTCTCGCTCAATTATTGACTCTCGACTAATCTTCGGCTGTTCCTCCCGGGCGAAACAACAACCAGGATTGACCAGAGACTTAGTACTAAGGTTCTCATAGTTGACTACCTAGTACCTAACTGACTTGTGACTCGGGTCAGCATGTGAAAGGGGGCGAGGAGAAACCCAGTAACAGTAACTTCATAACCAGTCCAGCAAGTGAAGATGACCGAAACTCTTGTTTGCATGTGCCTGAGGCAATAGAGGCAATAGGATACAGTACGGGACTCGACTCGACCACCAACCTAGCATCCCACCAAAATTCATCGTAGTGTCATTTTGATGTCGTAGTGCAGTGTAAGATGGTCTAATAATGTAAGAGCCCGAGTAAGAATCAATATCTGAGTGGGTGACTGAGGAAGTGAGAGAGTGAGAGCTGAGTTCAAGGGTTTCATGAGTCGAGTTTCGTGACTGCCGAATCCACACCCAGTCAGTCTCGGCTCTTCTTTGGCCCGCCGCGCCCAACTACGTTTTTCTCTTGCTTTGCACGTGAAAGTCCCTCCGTCGAGTCTTGCACCTGCAATTCATCCACTGCATCCTTCCATCCTTCCAACCAAGCAGGCAATTAATCAGTCAGTCAATCAATCAATCAATCAATCAATCAATCAATCGACTGCTCACTCTCACGCTCAATCAAGCTTCGCTCGGGATCTCCAACCTCTCTCAACTGCCTTTCCTATTATCCGCCCCTCTCCACTTCCTCACTTCTACCCCCTCTCTCGCCCCTCCCCTCTCTCTCCGAATAATCAGATAGTCTCAAACAAACGCGCCTAAGCCTAACCGATTCTCCGGCTCTTACTTTCCACGCCTCCAGCTTCTCGACTCATTTACCCGTTCTGGTTGTCGAAGGACAGCCATGGACCACCGTCCAACCGACGGCATCTCTGGTCCTGGTCCGAAGGCGTCCATTTCCGCTGTTCGAGACGCCACGACGCCGACCACCACCACCACGACGCCAGCCCATCCTTCGCCTTTATTAGTCTCCTCCACCTCGACGACTTCTTACACGGCGCCTACTCCCGCCCCTTATCCTTCTTTTCATCACCATGTTCCTCCCCCGTCGTCTCTGATGGATGTCGATCACACTACCGCGGCCGAGGATCGCTCGCGTCGAGCCACCAGTGTCCTGTCCATGGATGATATCGAAGCCGCCCAAGCCTTGGAGGGCTTGCGTACCGGTATACACCCCCACTCCCCTTCTCAATTATAAGGACATCACATCCTCCCGTGTCTGCTGCTGTGCATTTTGCTCGCACCACCGTCCCTACTTATATGCTATGCTATACTGTGGAATAAGTTTTGATAATGGGTTTGTATATTGGCAATCTAGAATACGGTCAATCGCCCCGAACCTTGCAGCCATCCGAACAAAAAGCCCAGCCGGAACCCCTCCTCTCCCTCCTGACGTCCACTCACCCCCTCATCTCCTCGGCCATCAACGGGTCTGTTTCGGCCTATGCGAACTCCAAGTCATACTCTCCCCGCTTCAAGTCCGGGGCTGAGTTCATCGAGCGGAATATCGGGTCGCCGGTTGCCAAGTCCGTCGGGACGGTTGGTCGAAAGACCGGTGTCGAGAGCGGACTGCGCTGGGCATTGCAGCGTCGGGCGTCGTCGTCGGCCAACTCCGGGCGGTCAAAACGCCGCAAAGTGAATGGCCGTGAAGATGTGCCACAGCAATCGGCGGGTGCTGATGTGGACGTTGAAAAAGGCTCCGCGGATGGTGATATGGAAGGTGGTGTGGATGGTCCCCCGCCGTACGATGATCAGAAATCCCCCAGCTATGATGAGATTGGTCGGGACAGCCCCTCGAGACAGAATCCGACTTGGCAGAGCCGGTTAATGATCTCGACATCTGGATTGGGGGTGGCGATGAGTGAGGAGTCGCTGCGCAGCCTGCAGTACTGTTTAACGTGGCTGCGGTGGGCGAACGGTCGGTTGGGCAAGGCTATCCTGGCGCTGCAGGGCGCGCTGAAGGAGTGGGATAACTCGGGCCAGTCCGCTCAGGGTGAGCAGGATGGGTCTACACAGGCAAATCTCCTGTCACAGCGGATACAGGCTGTTAAGGAGGATGTCTTGTCCACCTTGAAGAGGGTCGTGGATATCGTCTCCAAGTACGCTGGCGGAGCGTTGCCGGAGAATGCCCGCAACCTCGTCCGGCGCCATCTCACCTCCCTTCCCCATCGGTTCCAGATCGCTTCGACTTCCAACCCACCACCCGATTCAGCGGCAGCTGCATCCGACACGACGGTCAGCGCTCATCGGATCTTGGTCCTCGCTCAGGAAGGGCTTGACATGATGGCCCAGGTCAGTGGCGTTGTCAATGACACCCTTGTCAGTGCAGAGCACTGGTGCCAGCGACTGGGACGAAAGCGTCCCGAGAGTAAGAATGCCGCGGAGGTCAAGCAGCAGCCGGAGGAGCAGAAGGAGACTTATCCGGCTGATATCAAGCGACCTGTTCACGAGTCTTCCCCTCACGATGTGAGTATGTCAGGCATGGAAAAGGTCTGAAAGATCCACCTATTGATAAAGGTCGATAACGGGCTGTACCCAGTGAAAACCTGGGCGACCCTGCAATCGACAATGCTAAATGAGGCAGTATGTCTGCAGATTCAGATTGACGACTTGAAACAGTCATTGTCCGCTGACGAGCGGACCATCACCTTCCTTGTTTGCGTGTTCCTTTTGTCATGGTCGATCTTCTTGCATGTGTTGGCTGTCATTGCCACTGCGACTGACCTTCCTTACATGATAGCGATTTCATTTCCGGGATGAAGTATGGCGTTTCCCCCTCGATGATTTGACTTGCTCATTGCACCTGCATTATTGCGCTGTTCGCAAACAGAGACCGACCTACTTGCATTCGTTTGGGTTGTCGGTCTGTCGGAATTCCGCCTTCGCTCACTATTCGTGTTCTTGTTTTGACCCAGGAAGAGGTTTGTGTGCGTGGCTAGCGATGCTCTGATAATCCTCAATTCCGTTGTATGAAGCAGAAAAAGTTTTCCCTTTCTCTTCCCTTTGAGACCGTGACACTCATTCATCGAGATCATGTGATGAGCTCTCCAAACGACCTCCCATCCATCTCGATCTCCCGTATGAGGTTCCGATCCCCGCCGGCCTGCGAACAATACAGCCTCACCTTGACACTGCTAGTTGCTTTGTGTTGTTGTGCCTGCGCTAGAGCGGCCAGTCGCTGTCGTCTCCGTTCCTCCATGATGAAAGCCCACCTGATGCGGACGTCCTCGACTCGTCGCTGCCGACTCAGCCCCCGTTTTCTCCATAGCGCCACCTGCGACGCCATGAGCTGGTTTGCATCGTCGGGCCAGCCGCCCAGTTTCTGGGTCCGAGGCAAGGCCGCCATCGGGCTTGGAGCTGGGTAGTAAGACTGGTAGGGATTGGAGGAGTAGTATCCTCCCTCTCCCTTTCCCACTGTCCCGCCGCCACCCTTTTCCCTGATGATCCCATAGCGCCAGTCCATCATGCCCGACTCGAGCTCCTCCAAGTCTATCAGACCCGAATCCACCGCATGCAACCGCCCTTTCCACCCCTTCAATTCATAGACATCCTTCCCATCCCGACAGATGCTCAATATTCCCCGCCGCAGCGTGTAGTGCACATGGATATGGTAATCCGCGCGGTATTTCGCGAACGCGACATCCTCGCTGTTGCTTCCGTCGTCCGAGGTATCATCTTCTCCCTCAAGGAGATATCGTGCCACCAGCGCTTCGTACAGATGCCCCTGTGCGGAACCCGAGGAAGGGGGCGTGGACGGCGGGGTGAGCTCCGCGTAGCTGATGTACCGATGCTGCTGCTCCACCTGTGATTTCGGGGATTCCGGGGTCAGGCAGCGGGCTTGCCGACCAGAGTGGACAGCATCATCGGCTTCGAGGTCCATCTCATCGTCCTCTGAAGAAGTGGCAGGAGGCAGCTCGTGCGGCGCCAGATCGGGATCCGCTTGTGCGGGATTGAACGGGACGGTGCGGGCTGGATCGTACCGGCCGGATGCTGTGTCGGCGCGGAAGGTGGATTTGGGGATGCGGAGGATGGTGGTGCAGCCGGTGCAGGTTAGGGCTTCGTGGAGGGCGGTCGTCTGGGTGGTGTTAGCGGAGGGGCATTGGTGGGAGAATTGGGGAAGGGCTAGGGGGAATTTACCAGTTCTTCCTCTATTGCTGGTGTGGATGTTGTTGCTGATGCTGATGTTGGTGAAATAGCCGTCGCGCCGGACATGATGGCCGCCGGTGGAGGCGATGGTGATGGGGTTGGCGGGAGCATCTTGGTGGTTGTGGTTGTAGAAACAATTCGAGCATATACTCACGTCATACCACAAGTATCAATTGAAGTATACTCGACAAACAACCCTACTCCCCTGATCCAAGTTTTTGGAACTGTCGATTGCGGTGTTTTTGAATTATATGAATACTGTAGAGAATCCTTGCCCTAGGCCTAGGTGGTGAGTGTAGTGTAGTGTAGTGTAGTGTAAGCTAAAGCCGAGTTGGAGTCCGAGTCGGAGTTCTTTTCTGTCTGTCTGTGTCTCCTTCAAGCCAACTTCTCATATCCTGAGTAAGGGTCAATCCGAGTTGACTGTCCTTTTCCGTGGCTTGTGGTTCGTGGTGTTTGGTTAGTGTTTGGTGTATCGAACAACAATAAAGGATTGATTGTCCACAGTCACTGTATTAGGGAAGGGTCTTTGTTCGTGGCGCGTTTCAATTGTGAATGCCGTGGTCTATTGTTTCTGGGGAGTGTTTTTGGGAATCGGTTTTGTTGGTGGGTGGGTGGGTGGGTGGGTTTCTTTCTTTGTGTTTATGGATGTGTTTATGTTTGTGAATAGAATCGAGGTTTATTTTTGATTTGGAGTTGGTATAGTCGGTATGGTATAGTATAGTTTATGTGTTAACTTCTTTTTGTCAACAAAGAAAAAAGACAGGACAGGACAGGACAGGACAAGACCAGACAATCCCAGATGTTGAATGGAAAAACTGAAATGTGGAAAGAAAGGAGGACAAGCTTCAGCTATTATTATCTACATCCTTACTCCTCCTCATCATCATCATCATAGCCAGGTTAAGTGTCAGTCAGTGTCGGTGTCGGTGTCGGTGTCAGTCGAATTCAAAGTCGTGTCATCCTCCATTCTCAGCTGCGAAGGATATCGTCATTGGGGTTCCTTGCTTGTTTGGCTTGTTGGAACGTTGATGCTGTCGGCTGGAATCGGAGAGGGGGGGGGAAGTCACGCTGTGGTCGGTGTACTGGGGATCGGGGGGCACATGATTTCATAGATTGGGGGGATGGGGATGTGACGGGGTCACTGGGTTGAGGAATGTTGGGTTATCTTTCTGGGGGGTCGGGTGGTGCACCACTTGCTTACACTTACTAGCTCAGCTTAGCTTAGGTAACTTAGGGGTAGATGGGGGGTGAGGTAAGCAGTTGACTGAGCTGAGTAACTTGCTAAGGGGCTGGGCTTGGATGGGGTTTCTTGGGGATTGATAAGATCTTGATTGATGATTTGGGCTGTGGTTATGGTTTGTGGTTTGTGGTTTGCATGTGCGAGGGAGGGGGTAGGTAGAGGCTTTTTTTTTTTTTTTACTTAGTAGTAGCTTATTGTATACTTGACATATATTTGGGGGGATGTATACAGTATATGTTGTTCAGTCCGACTCAGAGGGGAAGGAAATGGAGTGTTGTGGACTGCAGTATCAGTATAGCCAGCTGGGTAGCTACTTCCAAGGGGCCGGTGGGATTATATACAGTCCAGCTCTACCGACTAATTCTTCTCTGTCGGTGGTAACTTATCCCCCCCTCTGCGATCCGTAACTTTCCTCGGGCTCTTAATTAGATGACTTTTGTCAATGCTCAGAGTGATGCGTCAGTCTAGAACAATGGAGAAGCTGGAGCTGGGTGCCTCTAGACCTAATACTTCACAACACCCTCATGCCAACAACACCGAGGTGCTTCCACCACCCAAACCCATAGCGCAAAGCCATTGTCCCTCCCCCTTTCAGCCCTATTCCACCCCTTTTGTCACGGCAATTGCATTCAGCTTCAACCTGGTGTTTTTACAAAATCCAAAATCCGCGAGAGTAGAGTAGAATTGTAGTACGTAGTGATGCGATATTCCTCTCACGACACCATCCACACCAAACCATGAATCTCAAAACCACCCAACATACCCCCTAAACGACACCACCACCACCACCACTTGCGATACAATCCTGCAGCAAGATGCTCTCCACCTCCTTCCCCCTCCTCCCAACCATCAGCCTCCTCCTCTCCCTCATCTTCTGCCTCTACCGCCTCCAAGGCCCCATCCGCACCTACCGTCGTCGTCTCCGAGCCCGATACAGCGGACGAGATGGCTACGCTCGTCTCGCAGCAGTCGAGGATGGGTATGTCATGTCATGTCCACTGCCACCCCCCTCCTCCCTCTCGAGTTTCCCGGGGGATTCTCTTGTTACTACATCCACCCCGTCGTATACAAGAACTGACAGACTACAGCAGCTCACCATCCCCAACCGCCGACCAACCCCCCAGCTCTGATCTGGACAATGCTCATACTGAAAATCCAAGCACCCCGCTAGGCAAATACTTCGATCCGCAGACTGCCCTCCTCTACGCTGATGTGTTTGAGCGGAGGACGAGACCGTCTACGTCGTGGGAGCGGGAGGAGGGGGAACTCGGACGGCAGCGGGTTGTTGGTGATGGTGAGGGGGAGGGCGATGGCGATGGGGTTCTTGGGGAATGGTTTGGGCGGTTGGTGGAGGGCGTGGTGCGGTATTATGTGGGGGTTGGTTTGGGAGAAGGGATTCGTTGAGTAGATCTCCGTACTCCGTACTCCTTAAGTTACTGTACATAGACTTGAAGAGAAGGGGAAATCGAGGCAGAAGCCTGGCGTGAGAATAAGCGGTGTGAATCATATCGGATGAAACGCAATCACTTATCTACCGTAGGAGTAAAGGGGTGGCGCGGCCTGATTGAGGACTGCAAACTTTCGTCGGCAGGCGGGGATGCAAGCCACTATGCATGGCTTCGTGGCGGTTGTGTGATGAGTACTCCGTACTTTGTGGCTCAGTGTCTTCGGTGGTTTTTTTTTTTTTTTTTTTTTTTTTTGTTTGTTTTTTTTTTTTTTTTTTTTTTTTTTTTTTTGGAGCGGTGAGATTCTTACGAAACCTTGGGGGATGAAATCCTACTTGATGGAGATCTAGTTGATTTGTCTGGACTCTCGCGGGGATATTATCCATACTATCCCGAAAGAACTCCGTATAAACATGGCAATGGAAAAGGTATATATACGTGAGTGTGTGTTCGAAAGCCTACGGAGCACAGTACCCGCCGTCCACCACAAGATCAGCCCCCGTCGTGTAGCTGGACGCATCCGAGGCCAGATACAGGTAGGCGCCCTTCAGCTCCTCCGGAAGACCCTCCCGGCCCATGGGGATCTTGTCCCGCCAGATCTTCTTGGTGTCGTCCTGCACGAAGTTGGACAGCTCCGTCGCAATGTAACCCGGGGACACGCTGTTGGCCCGAGCGAACCGGACCCATTCAACAGCTAAAGACTTGCCTGGAGGCTGGTCAGTATCCACCGGCCGAAAGATATGCTGAAGAGCACCTACAAAGATGAATGACCCCCGCTTTGGCTGCGTTGTACGCCGCCTGCATCTGGGGGATGTTGACAATATGCCCGCTCATCGACGCGGTAGCCACAAAGCTCCCGTACGAGAAATTCTCCAGCGGGTTGCCGAACAGATCCGTGCCCTGTTCCTTCTGTCGCCGCCAGTGGCTGGCGGCCGCCCGGGCACAGTAGAAGGTGCCGTTCAGATCGGCGCCCACCACGTGCTCGTAGTGCTCCAATGGAGCATCGACCATCGGGCCCTTCACCCAGGCGACCCCGGCATTGGCGATGAAGACGTCCAGTCGGCCGTTGAAGTCCTTCACCACCTGGTCGACCGCTTCTTGCACGGCTTGGGGGTCGTTGATTTCAACCTTGTACGCCTTGGCTGGTGGATGTTAGCCTATGCATTGACTGTCCAGGGTACTAAGGGGTCAACCCACTCTGAACACCGTATTTTTCGGCAATCTTCGCCGCGCTCTCCGCCGCCTTCTCGTTGGTATTCCACCAGATGGCGACGTTGGCTCCGGCCTCGGCTAGACCGTTGGCCACGGCGAATCCAATGCCGGCCGTAGCACCTGTGACGATGGCGGTTTTGCCCTTGAGAGAGAACATCTGCATTAGGCTGGGGTGTGCGGGAGGGGTGGTGTTCTCGTGGACGAAGAGTCCATTCTGGACGGGGTTGGCTGCCATTCTGGTAACTTTGGAAAGCAAAGAGAGAGGTCTAGAAGGAAATAGGAGAGAGAATAGAGAATAGAGGTATAGAGGATGAATGAGAGAAGAGCACGAGGGTATGGAGAATAAAAGCCGGGGTGCATCCCGGGAGGGAACGTGGATTTATATGCTCAGACCGGAGCTTAGATACATCTGACTATTAGCACGACCAGCCGCAAGTTGATTGAAGCTGGACAGCTCGAGCCCGCTCAGAAGCCGCCGATCCAGCTGAAGACAGGCTGAGTCGTTGCCCTCTAAGACTTCGAATGTTTCCGCCGCTCATAGCTCGTTGGACCGAGGTGCAGCATCCACTTTGACCACGCACTAATCATCACGGTGGGATGGAGCCGACGCTATGACATTGTCGGACGGACATTTAGAAAGCGAGTCGTATCTGTTGCTTCTTGCATGACAGCAAGCACCCCATGTATCTGGCCGCAAATGTGAATATATCCGGAGTACTGTGCTTCGCTCCAGCAGATAGCTCAGGCATCTATGACAGCATCTGATGCGCATGGAACTCATGCAGCATACCCTGTTGAGCAGAAAGAAAGAGACATCCAGTTCCTATTGCGACGGCTCTGGCGGATTCTCGCCGTCAACTCGAAGTGGGGGCATGTATACAACAGATTTACAGCCAAGCTACTATGCAACTGTGCTCAGTAGACAAAATCCGCCGGAAGGTGGGTGAAAACCGGCTCCGGCGGACTCCACATTGAATAAGGCGAATGATACTGATAGGACCCGCCGGAGCTCACCCGTGGTCTTATGACAGAATCATACAAATGCGCGCGTATGAGTTCGAAGTGCATCGATCGATGCTCCATCCAGGATCCATAGTTGAAGCGCTTCCCCAGCCGTTGGCGGGGAAGAAAGGTTTCTCCGCTTCCACCCTCTGCTTCCCGACAGTCACGGCGGTCCGATTTCCGAATCAGGAAAGTCAAGTCAACCGCCGCGAACAACAACATCCACAACGGTGGATGCTCTGGATAAAGTGGACAAGACACAGACATACCGCTCATTCCTATACTTGTCATTACTCGCTCAGATTGACCAGAGTGTCATCTCCCTTATTTCCCGATGTCTTACATCGCAATGGGAAGCTCACATAAACAGTCGAACCATGACTTCCCCGCAGTGGATACGCAACGAGGACTGTATTCCTACCGGGCTCATACCAACAAGATCATTGAATCTTCGTACAAAGTCAATAAGAAGAAGGACTGACATTTAGCATGCTACACACTACTAAGCTAACTGAGTAACCTTACTGACTTACGCACGCAACCATCGTGCAACTAGCAGCAAGGTACCCGGAACGGCGGCAGTTGCCATTTCCCCAATGCATCCTCACTCACGCAGCAGTTGAAATATCTCAATAAACAATAGATAGCTGAATCATGCTCTACGAATAACATGCTCTGTTAAGCCCGCATGTTTCGTCTGGGACGGACAAAGACCAACCGTTGCTACATTCCTCACGCTCCCGACTGTTATGCTCTACACATTCTTCTGCCTCATCGGGGTGATCATAACAAACGAATCCTTCCTGCCTCCCAATTCTGTCCACTCCTTATCCAACATGCTCCCTGTTTGTCCCTCCATCCTGTGTTGGCGTGTTCGTGGCTTGCAGTCCCTTGTCTTGCCGGGTGCTTAACGCTGGTCAACGTCCTCCCAGCCTCATCTTCGGCCCTGACAGGATCGAAAGTCGTCGAAACGAGAAGAGTCGGACCAACAACACCAGCTTCGGCATTTTGAATGGGTGAACGCGCTCTTAACGCTCAGAAAACCAGGGTCGGTCGGGTCTAGTCAGGAAATCGCAGGAAGGAAACAGCCATGCCGCCACTGACCACCGTGATCGCGATAGCCGTCAGCTGTTCGGTTCTTTTCATAGTCGCTGCAGTCGTGGGGACGGTCATATGGGTCAGAGTACGCCATGACCGCTTGTCGCTGGCAGTGGCAAATGCCAAACACGGTCAATTTGGCTTGCAGCACTACCAGGCTGAGACGTTGACTGAACTCTCCCGCGAAGAAGGCACGGCGCTGAGACAATATGGCCAACTTCCGTATGGGAAGCCATCTGAATGGGGAGTGCTATCGTCTCGGGAAAGTCTGCCTACTTCTCCAGGAGACTCGGAGTCATCATCCCCTCCAAATGAAAAGGGCCGCGACTTGCGTCGGCCGATGTCCCGTTCTTTGTCTACGCGTTCTGCGCGAGTGTCGAAGGGCTTCCTAGGCCCGCCACGCCTCAGTTCTCTCTCACCGCTGACAGAAAGATCCGAAAAGCGCTATTCATCATCACCGGTGGTTTCCTGTATCAACGAGCGCTTGTCGAGCTCCGCTGTTGATGGAGCGGTTGAATTGCCCACAGAGACGACACCGAGGCACACACCTGAGAGAGAAGAGGAACACCCGCGAGCCGAGATCACTATGCGTCCAATCTCCGGAGCGTGGCCCTTGGTCCACTCGCGGGAACGCTCTGGAAATCTGTATCCGGTTTTAGAGGACAACCCAGAAGGGATCAATCCCCCCTTTGCCCGAGTCCGGGGCGGAAGCATCACCGCTCAAACGGCTGGGACAATGCCAGAGCAGCCTGTACCCCCCCCACCATGTGCCTACCCGCCAAATCGCTTCCGCTTGTCAAAGAATGACTCTATTTGTTTCTCCTCGTTGAGTTTGGAGACAGCCGACAGCTCCATACTCGACGAAAGCCGACGGACATCGACCAATATCGAGAGCGACTTCACTTCGCCAGCACTACCGCCTTGCCCTACTTTTACGCCGTTCGATGCCAATGACGTTGGACGGCTGGAATTTGACAGGCGTAGCTTTGTGACGCCCATCTCAGTTGTACCAGCGCCGTTTGTGTTTCCTCCTACATCTGCTGCTGTTTGGGAGGGCCAGAGAATTGAATCAGGTCGTACTTCACCCCGTCGCAGCTTGACGGCCCGCAGCCCTACCTCGATGGAACGGAGCAGCCCGCCGCCACGACGCAGTGAGTCTGTCTCCGTGGGACATTCTCGACGTGATTCAGCTATGAGCGCCAAGCCGTTGGAGTTGGGTAACACGCCTATCCTCAACGCCGCTGGTCGCAATGCGGCCTTGCTGCCGCACTTCAGCCAGATGCAGAGAATCCCGCCGCAAACCGAACAACGACGAAGCCACGATCCTTTCTACGCTGGGCCTCATAATGCCGCGAACACCAACGCACAGGGTGCCCCTAGAAACAGACTGACCGGTTCAGCCACACCGGAAAGTTCTGCGCAGTCCCTAGCCGGCCATGTGAAGCAACCCATGGCATCTGCGATGAGAAGCGGGAACAGTCTACGCAAGGGCCACCGGCGACAAAACTGCGTCCGCATCTCGATCCATCCCCCCGTCACCTTCAATGGACCTGTATTCTCTCCGACTGCCGAGGAGCCAGAAGACGTTGGGGAAATCGACTTTCGCCGTTCTCAGATATCCGACCTGTCAGCATCCAATGTGTCGCT